TTATTCCCAAGACAATTTATTATGTATGTACAATCTGAAGTACTTCTTTCCAAAAGTGTTTTGAATAAGGGGCACTCAGTTTACATCTGGCATTTACTGGGAAACCTACCAGCTTTGAAATATGGGTGGGCGCATTGAATCTGTAGATGGCTCCGGTGGGGTGGCCATTTTCACAATAATAACTTTCCCGATGTACGAACATGGGAGGTATTTCCATCTTCTGGTATCTTCAATTTATTTCCTCGGTGTCTTAAAATTTTAATTATTCATGTTTTACTCCTCATTGGTTAGATTTATCCCAAGGTGTTTCTGAGGCGTGAGTGGGACTGTTTGTATGATATCTTTCTCATGTATTTGTCACTTGAATTGTAGGAAGGCTATCAGGTGTAGCAGCTTTCTGCTGGAGTCCTTAGAGTTTTTTCATGTATAGAAGCATATTATCTGCAAATAATGATACCTTCATGCCCCCCTTTTCTATTTATCCTCTCTATCTCTTTCATTTGTCTTATGGCTCCAGGAATGGAGACAGGGAGGAGAACAACCTTGTAGTTCCTGACTTTGGTGGAAGTGTTTTGAGTTTCTTCCATGTTGGCTGTGGGCTGGGTGTATATTTTCTTTATGGTGTTGAAATATGATCCCCGTATCCCTAGATGTTTTTATCCTGAAACTGTTACCATTAGAAGATGTTGGATTTGTCAAAGGCCTTTTCTCTGTCAATATATGGTTTACGCTATAATGGTGTTTCCTTTATGAATTTGGGTGTCATTGTTTGTGGCATAGATAGTAAGAACTGCAGTGTCCTCTTGGTGAATATTTTCCTTTTGTGAGAGCTTCCTTCCCTATCTCTTTTGATTAGTTTTGCTTTTAAATCTAATTTGTCAGATATTAGAACAGCTGAAGCAGCTTGTTTCTTAGTTCCATTTGCTTTTGAATATCTTTTTTCTATATCCAACCCAAGGTGATCCTTGATGCTAAGACAAATTCTCTTAGATGCAGCAGCAGGATGGGACCTATTAGTTAGTTCACCTCACCCTCCTCTCCTCCAAATCCAACCCCCAATCTCATCCCAGCAAGTTATCAGGGCAGCCTCCCCTTCCTGTCAGGCCCGTTTTTCAGAGGATCAAGCAAACCTCCCACAGTCGCCCTGCCCCCCAACCCTTTGCCTCCACTCCTTAACTCCAGCAAAAGTCCCTGGGAACCCACAGACCACACCTCCTAGGGAAACAGGTAGGCTAAGGGCAGACCTTCATTTCTCTTCTCTCCTCGAAATCTAATCCCCCAGTCTCATACCAGCTTTGTTAGTTTTTGTTAGTCTGTCTTTTTTATTGGGGAACCGAGACCATTAATGTTCTGAGTAATCAATGAGCAACGTTCACTGGTTACTGTTTATTTTTGTTGTGGTGCTTTTTCCCCCCCTTCTTTTGCTTTGCTATTACGGAATCATTCCTTGTGTTTTCTTTTGCCTGGTTAACCTGAAGAGGACTTCCTTCTATAGAGCTGACAATGTAAATAAATGCTGCTTAAAGTTGGTTCTGTCATGGACTGTCTTTATCCGTTTACAGTGATTAAAAGTCTTGCTGGGTGTAGTAGCCTGGGCTGGTATTCTCCTAAGGTCTGTAGAACATCTATCCAGACCCTTCTAGCTTTCAGAGTCACTGTTGAGAAATCAGGTGTAATTCTAGTAGGCCTGCCTTTTTGTCTGTTACTTGGCCATTTTCCCTTGCAGCTTTTAATATTCTTTCTTTGTTCTATATATTTAGTGTTTGATTATTATGTTCCAAGGAGAATTTCTCTTCTGGTCTGGGCTATTTGTTGTTCTGTATGTTTCTTGTACCTTGATAAGTACCTCCTTCTTTAAGGTGGGGGCATTTTCTTCTATGGTTTTACTGAAAATATTTTCTGTGTTATTCACCAGGGTTTCTTCTCCTCCTTTTATTCCTGTTGTTCATAGATTTTTGTCTTTTCATGGTGTCCCAGATTCCCTAGATGTTTTGTGCTTGCAGTTTTTTAGATGTAACATTTTCTTTGCCTGAGCTATTCATTTCTTTTATCTTGTTTTCAGTACTTGAGATTATGTCTTCCATATCTTGTATTGCATTGATGAGGCTTGCCTCTGGGGTTCCTGTTTGAGTTCCTAAATTTTTCATTTCCAGATTTCCCTCAGTTTGGGTTTCCTTTAATTCTATTTCCACTTTCGGGTCTTGAACTGTTTTATTCATGTCCTCCCACTGTATTTTCATAGATTTCTTCAAAGGATTTCTTCATTTCTTCTTTAAGTACCTCTATCATGTTTATAAAGACTACTTTATCTTGTGCTCCAGCTATGTTGGCATTTCTCAGGGACTACTATAGTAGAGTTGCAGAATTCTTGTGGCCACCTACTGTCCTGGGTACTATTGTGTTTTCACTGGCACCTGAATTTGAATGATTATAATTATAACCAGGTGCTGATACCTGGTCCTGTCTTTAATGTGTGGGGGTTTTTGTTCTTGATGTCTATTGCCCTCTGTGGTTCTTAGGAGAGTATGTTGCCTGGTAGGGAATGCTTCTGTGATCCTGCCAGGTGTGGCCACTTAGGTTCTGGGCACAGTGTGTCTCTAGGTATTGGTAACTGGCACTTAGTAATGGGAACGGACTAGAAGGAGAACTGAGAGGGTCCACAGGAGGGAGGACAGCAGAGTGTTTCACCAGTATCTGCTTAGTTCCCTGGGAATGGGGTCAGAGAGTAAGGCCAGAGCACAGCGGGTTTTCTGCTACAGAGATGGTGTGAGACTGGGGGATTGGGTTTGGAGGAGAGAGGCTAGCCCACCTGTTTCCCTGGGAGGTGTGGTCTCTGTGCTCCCTGTGGGAAGAGGTCTGCTTGATCCTCTGGAGATGGGGCTGAGAGGAAGGGAGGTTTGCTACGGAGCAGGGGATGATACTGGAGGTTGGATTAGGAGGAAAAATGTGTGAGGTGAAGATCTGCAGTTAGCCTACCTGCTTTTCCACCTACTTGATTTTAATACAAAGGCATAACTTTAGGAGAACAATGCCTGCTTGCTTCTTGGTACTTTGTTTGGAATACTTCTTTCCTATCCCTTTTATTTTTAGGCTTATGCCTATCTTTAAAGCTGATTTTCTTATAAACAGAAAGGTTGATACAAATTCCTAATCCATTTAGCCAGCCTGTGTCTTTTAACTGAAATGCTAAGGTCATTAATATTTAAAGTTATTGTTGAAATATATGTGTTGACTATAGTTTTTTTGTGGGTTTGGGAGGTTAGGGTGTGTGTGTTGTTTTGTTGTTTCTGTTCTTAATATTCACGTTTCAATAATTAGTTTTGTTTTCTTTATAGAGTCTCTTGGCTATGCTTGTTCCTTTGTTCCAGCATTCTTCATAGGGCTGATTTAGTCTATTTGTACTATAGGAAGTTTTCCTTTCTCTCAACTGTGGCTGATAGTTTGGCTAGGCTCAGTGGTCTAGCTTAATATCTATAATCTTTTATAATTTAGAGGGCATTGCTCCAGGCTCTTCTGCCTTTCAAAGTTTCCATCAGCTATTCTGGTAGATTTTCTTTTATATGTGATTTGTGTTTTCTCATACAACTTTTATTATTCTTTCTTTGTTCTGTGTACATACTGTTTTATCCATGATATGCCACGGGGCATTCCTTTTCTGGTCTGTCTGTTGTTCTGGGTTTCCTGTATCTGCATGGGTGTATCTTTCCTTGGGGGAGACATTTTTTTCTATAATTAAAGATCTGGTCTATGCCATTGACTCGGAATTTTTTTTCCTCATCTATGTCTATAGTTCAAAGATTTGGTCTTTTCATGGAAGCCCACAGTTCCTGCATAGTCCTTTCCTGTGTAATTTTTAATTGTTTTTGTTCTTTGCTTGTGTGGTCTTATCTGAGACCTTAGATGCTTTGTCAGCTGTTTGTAAGATTTCCCTCTGAGTTTTCTAATTGAGATACTGGATTTTTTTTTAACTCTATCTTCATTTCAGCTTGAGTTTTCTATGTTTCTATTTCTTTACTGGACTCAGTTTTCAAATCCAGTGCTTCACCTGTCTCTTCAGCAGGCCCTTCTTGTCCAGCATCTTCTATCCAGAAGAAAGATAGAACCGGGAACCCTCTTTGACTCTAATTTTCCACTCTGCCCCTCAGAGTTGCTCTATGTCCTATCAGCTCTGCTCCAGGCCTGATCCAGAATTTAGCTTCTGCTCTTGTTCTGATCCAAGCCATCATTCAGTGAGGTAAAAACCAGTTGTTTGCTCTTACACTTTATTGGAACATAGCAGGCTCGGTGATGTGTTCTATGATGTTCTCCTTCAACTTGGTGAGAATCTGCTTACTTGCCATGGGTCTGTCATATTCCTTCCTGGGCACAGACCTGTGGCCCTTTGTATACTCTCTTCCCTACAAAAAATAATTCCCCTTACCGCTTAGTGCCCTTTTCCACATTTTCATGTTCTATGACTTTAGCTCTGTTTGAAACTTCTCATGTATTTATACCATTCTATGGTCTCTTCCCCAGTGCTCCCCCTCAGGCCCAGAGTAGGATTTTAATGAACAGCTGTGTATCAGAAGTCTAAATGAATGTTAGCCTCCAACACCTGATGACCTCAGTTCAATCCCCAAAATTCACATACAGGTGGAAAGAGAAGAGCAAAGTTGTCCTCTGCCCTCCACTTGGGTACACAACTGGACATAGTCATGCGGACACATGCAATAATAATAAAAAATAATAAAGCAAAGCATAATTCTACCATTTCCTGGCTCCAGCTCTCTGCCACTGTCTGTTCAAACAACCTTCTTCATTCCCCCCACACTGGCATAAGAGACACTCACTGACCCATGCTTTCCTCCTAAAGACAGGGAGGGCTGAGTCCACATTCAGTCCAGGGCCAGTTGGTGCAATGCAAGGGCACACAGGGGAGAGGAGACAGCACATGTCACCGAGGCAATGTTCACAGGAATGTTCACCGTGTATGATGGCACATTCTCGGTGTTTCCTTCCAGGTTCACGACTACCTCCGCAGCAAGCTGTGCTCCCTCTATGAAAATGACTGCATTTTCGATAAATTTGAGTGTGTGTGGAATGGGTCAGACAGGTAAGAAACACTCTGGGACTGAGAGCCCTACCTTTGAGGAGCCTCTGGGCAATTTATCTTAAATGAGACCTGGCCAAGGTATATTATGTGAGTCACTAGTTGGAAACTGTGGTTACATCTACAAAGGGAAGGATTCTGTGAGACCCCAAGTTCATTTCAGGGCTGGCATGGGTGACAGTTCAATGTCAGCAAGAACATCTGTCTTTGACTTGAAGGACTCGAGACTACTGATAATACACCAGCAAGTCTTCCTCTCCATAGCTCTGATTACTACCAAGAGGCTTTCTAGACCCATCCCCTTGAGGCTGCTAGAGCAGACCTGACTGAAGGCCCCAGTGCTTCATGAGCAGACTTCTAGCCAACCTCATTCATCACATTCCATCCAAGTGATTTATTAGTGTTTTAAGGCCCTTGATTTCTACAATACTTCATATTACCTCGCAATAGTTCATTTTGAGTTTGACAAATGCAGATGATTCTTTGACTGTCTGTAAACTAGATGCAGGCCGCTGGGGCTCAGTAAGCTCCTTGATGAAGGTGGCACCAGGAATAGCTTTCAATGGCATGGAACTTTTTCCACAACAGGCCATTCTGAGATCCCAACTTTGAGTCAATACCATGGTCTCTGACTATCTTGCCCTCTTCCCAAACCACCCATCAATCTACTTCTTAGATGAACTAGATGTATTAACCATGTAGGAAAAAAAAAAAACAACAACCTAGGTTACACTATCCAGTTCATACAGGATAAGAAAGCAAAGCAAGAAACCATATGAACCAGAGTCCCTAGGGAAAGCTGTGAGCCTGTCACTCTGCCACTTAGTCATTGTTAGTTGACACTATGTTCACAATTGTTACTATTCCAGTTCACCCTTCATTAACCTAGATTCAAGTCTACCAGGTACCTGTGCACAGGACATTTTTCACACACATCTTCTAATCCAGCCACAGCCCAGTAAGGTTCTTCCCATCATCTCCACTTCACAGTTGAGGAAGCTAATAATCAAAGTAATTGAGAATTAGTGGGATGACCCAACCTGATAAATTAGTAAGCCTTAATTATAAAAGTAAAGAAATGTTGGCTTTGAGGCCTGAGATCAATCCTTCTATAACATCATCACTGGGAATTTTGTTTGGGGTTCAGATAAAGTTGGGATATTTAAGGATAACACTTTTTTTTTTCTTGACTTGCTTAAGAGCAAGTCCGATCGTGATGGGGAAGTGAGAGCAGTGTCTTGGAAGCTACAAAGCCAGGTGCTGGATCACAGTACCCTCAGACTCTCGCTCTCAATGTGTACGCCTTCATCTCCCCTGAAATCCCCTTGCACGAGCTACTGAAATCTTAACTATGATTATGGAGGAAAAGCCACCTGCACCTGGGGCTGGAGAGATGGCTCAGAGGTTAAGAGCACTGTCTGTTCTTCCAGAGGTCCTGAGTTCCATTCCCAGCAACCACATGATAGCTCACAGCCATCTATATAGTAAGATCTGGTGCCCTCTTCTGGTGTAAAGGCACACATGCAGGCAGAATGCTATATAAATAATAAATAAATCTAAAAAAAAAAAAAAGCCCCCTGCACCCCCATGCTGGAGCACCCAGATATTCCTTTATCCATAGCACCCCATTACTGGGCCCATGAAACAAAATCTAAACTGATTAATGTGCACAGTCAACAGAGTTCCCAAAGCACCCCAGACTTGTCATTTTTTCCCTTCCCCAAAAAACAGATGACACCAGGCATTCCTTCCCAGACACAGTCTAGACCAGTGTCTTTGAAGGGCCACCATAAATGGCACACATATGGCACAGGCAGTGGCCCTGTACCCGCCCAACACTTGCCACCTACCTTAAATTCCAGCTTTAAAGATTCAATGCCATGTTGCTGGAAGGCCTTCAACATTCACTGCTCTCCCACCTAATCATAGATAGCCCCAAGAACAGATAAAGCTGCAAAACCATGGGAGCATCTCCTCCAATGCCTTGATCAAAGTTTAGATTACCTGGTTAACTCTGTTGGCTGTCTCTCCCGGGAAGGGCACGGCATCTATGTTGTGCAACACCAGAACATAGAGCTGGCCTCCCTGTGGCGATCACTGCCTCAGTACTTTACACAGCAGGCAGATGAGCTAAGCTACATTCCCAGAGCTCAGAGAGCCCAGAATTCCCCCCAAACAAATGTGTTTCAAGCCTGCAAAAAGTTTGCTGATTCCATGTGTTCCTAGTTACACCTATGGGAAGTGGGTAACCCTAGGATTATAAGAATTGGACCAGATTAGTCCAAAAGGACATCCATGGAGTAAAAATGAGTAATACTGGTGGTTATCACAACGCTTTGTTCCAAATCCAGGCAATGAGCTTGGCACTTTTAATGGTTTAAAAAAAAAAAAAAACAAGTCAGTGTTCCCAGTTTAAACCTGAATTTCCTGTGAGCAGGCATGATAAGCGTTGTTTGCTCCTGAAGGCGGACTGGGTATGTCTCACCACTGTCTCTACAGTACTCAGCCGCTTCTTTCTCTCTCCCCCGCAGTGTCATCATGACGGGCTCCTACAACAACTTCTTCAGGATGTTCGACCGAAACACCAAACGTGATGTGACCCTTGAGGCCTCGAGGGAAAACAGCAAACCCCGGGCTATCCTCAAACCCCGAAAAGTGTGTGTCGGGGGCAAGCGAAGAAAAGATGAGATCAGTGTCGACAGTCTGGACTTTAGCAAAAAGATCTTGCATACAGCTTGGCATCCTTCAGAAAATATTATAGCAGTGGCGGCCACAAATAACTTATATATCTTCCAGGACAAGGTTAACTAGGAGGACAAGCTATTACTTAGTCTCATATACTGAATACTAGTCAAACAAGTTTTTAAATGTTTCTTTGGGTCTTCATTTGATGCATTGACTTTCATTTCCCTATGCATAAAACAATTGGAATAGAATTTAAAAGGAGTTTAATGTTCCCAACTCCCCAATTCTAAGAAACTTTTGTCAAACTCAGTAGGCTTGGGACACTTCTGTTTAGAACTGAGACCTGCCAACTGGCAGTAATTCCTCCATAGTCGACTTGAATTTCTGATGCGTTCGTTCATTGCCCAGTTTTCTCTGGTGGGTTCCGTGTTTTGTTTCTAGGTGTCTGCTGCGATAAAATGAGATTGTCTGTAGTATTTAAGGAGAAAAGAGATAAGGTTTTTTTTTAAAATGAAACAATTCCATTTGTTTGAAAAAAAAATCAACAAAAAATAAACACTGTTTACTCTTAGAGTTTCTCTTTGTGAAGAATCAGACCTAGCCAATATATCTCCTCTGCCTTCCCATCCATTTCCTTTTAAACAGTTCTATTGAAGCCAGAGACTTATTTCATGAGGCTGAGAAAAGGGGTGTAAAATGGGAGGGGAAGGGACGTCATGACACTGTTCTCTCTTTTCGTAAGCCTCATAGAGACAGCCTGGGAATGTGATGGCAACAGCACCACAAACACTTTAGGGAACTTAAAGAGTCCTTTCTCCATGGGGCTTCCCAGAGTTTACTTGGCAAGGCCAGCGGAGACCAGATCCCTTCCATTGCTTGTTACTCTTGCTTTGTTTTCATTTCCTTTTAAATGTCTCCATCTAATCCCCCGCCTACATGGTCCTTGGCTCTTTCCCTTCAACCTCTGCCAGAGGATTTGCCCATTGACTTCTAAAGGCTGTGTCCCGGTTGCTTAGAATCAGGGGTTCTCAATAAAGCAGGGAGTCTGAATAGCAGTAGCCCCCACCACCCCAAGAAAGACTGACCTGTTATTTTTGGTTTATGTCCCCTCCTCTTTTCTCAGACATAGCCATCCATCAGCCCTCACTGTGTCTACAACAAAGGCCATACTGATGCTGATTTGTGTAAGCATACATCTGTGAGCCCACTTCAAACTCACCAAACAGGAAAAAGTAAGGGCTCTTTCCCTACAACCAGCAATAAGATATGACGAGGAGGGAGGGTTCACACACACACACATGATGGGATGGAACACACCATCAGCCAATCTCAGCCTTGTGTTCATATTTCAGCAAGAAATAACAGTCAGGAAATATAAGTTCTGACAGGCCAGTATTTCTTTTCAACATTAATCAAAACAGCTGGTTCACCGATCTCTTGAGATGAGAATTTGGACTCACCACTTCAAGAAAACCATTTCCAAAGGGACCTTCAAAATTCAAGGATTTATTCACTCAGAGAGGAAGCTTAGAAGGTACGTGTGTCCTGAAAGTGGGACCTTGGCCTTTGTCTGTTCCTCTGTCTCAGCTCATCTCCCCAGTATCCATCTGGTAGACAGGAAACAACTTGAAATGAGAGATTTTTCGCTAAAAGAAAATGCTTCCTTCAGTTTCTGGATTTATTAAAACTCCCAACTTTGATTTTGCTTTAGAGGATTAAAAGAAAAGTAAAAGAAGCATATTGTCTTTGTTTCTAAGCTGTTGCCTGTGTGCTAACAGCTTTTTGGCAGGAAATAAGTACCTACTTAAATACTAACAACTTTTTTAAAGATCCCAATTTCAGGAGCTTTAACACAAGCCTTTGCACCTCCATACAGTGGCACGTTAGATGAAGATGTGACTTCCTTGGTGTTTCTCAAGTTCCTTGTAGTGCAAGCTGCTCCTTGGGCATCTTTCATGGCCTGTGGAGAAACTTGCTGGGTAGGAAAGTGATTTGATGAGACTTGAGAGAACTAGCAACCCCTCCCACTCCTAGAGAGCCGCCACGGGTAGGGAACACCAGGGCACAGGCGTTTGCCATCTTCTTGACTCCCTGGGACTCCCCATCTCTGACTGTGCAAAGTAGGCTTGTGCAAAGCCCAGACCAAGTTGGGCATCAGCCCTCCTTTGTACTCTTGTTCATTTAACCTCTATCTAAGTCTTTCCTCAGAAGCAAGATATCCTCCTCCAAAGAACAAATATTCCTGAAAGTTGGTTCTGATGTGCTGACGTTTCTAACGCTAATCGCATAACTGTTCACACGTAAAACGTGGATCCACATACCTTCCGAGTCGTCCTGTGAGCCAAAAGAATGCTTACTAACCTCCAAGTAACCAGCACAGTGTTTCTCAACCTGTGGGTCGTGACCCTTTTGGGGGGCTTAAATGACTTTTTCACAGGGGTCACATATCAAATATCCTACATATCAAACATATTCATTACAATTCATAACGGTAGTGCTGGAGGGATGGCTCAGAGGTTAAGAGCACTGGCTGCTCTTCCAAAAGTCCTGAGTTCAATTCCCAGCAACCACATGATGGCTCACAGCCATTTATAATGGGATCTGGTGCCCTCTTTTGGCATGCAGGCAGAACACTTTATACATAATAAACAAACAAACAAATAAATAAATAAATCTTTTAAAAATAATTTATAACAGTAGAAACTTTGTAGTATGACATAGCAATGAAAATAATTTTATGGTTGGGGTCACCATAACATGAGAAACTGTACTAAAGGGTCACAGCATTAGGAAGGTTAAGAACCACTGAACAAGCATGACTTCAATGCCTTTGGAAGCATTAGAGTATCTCCGTGGTCTGCACATTTTGGAGCCATCATTGCTCCTCAGAACACACACATGAGCAATTCTGGTGATTGTGAAAGAGCTCACAGGTTCCCTGAAGTCTGCAGACTTCAACTGTAGACCCACACTGTCTAAGGAACTCAGTATAGAGGAGAACCTGTGAGTTGGAGGTGGGTGGGAATTTGCCAGATGAGTTAGAGCACACGGCTACCAGACTCTCCTTTATTGCACACAAAAGGGAGCCTTGGATACATAGCCATGAAGACAAAAACAGGAGAGGGTTTCACTAGATCGAGGCCTCAGGCACTAACCACCATCCGTCACCATTTGCCAGATGCTGAGCAGTGAACCCTTTATCATGTCCCTGGGCCCTGGGTATTCTGTACTGGGCAAACCCAGAAGACCCTCGAAGCGACCTGAAACCCATCCTGCTATGATTTGGACAGTTTGTTTGTCTCTGTGGACCCTGTGTTGTATGTTTGCAAGCGCCATCAGATTACGATGGGAGGGCATGGGTTCGATTGAGCAAAATGGGAAGCATGCTTTCCTGCGCTTCCATTAAAATCCTCCTAAGTTAACATTCAGTTCCTGATGTTTAAAAGCAAAGCAGCTCCAAAGGTCGGATTTAATAGGCAGCCACGATTTCTTGTCCAGAGGAGGAAGGTAAGTTGTGAAAATAAGAGTGACATAAGCCAGCAACAGGGGGGTGGGGTGCCAGGTAGACAGGTGGGGACCTGCTTCCTACCTCCTTAAAGTCTAGCTCCTGCCTTTCCTCCTCTGATGGCTAAAAGCACAGCAAACCAGCCACAGCAGCCACACTCCTGGAGGATGATCATCTTTGCATGCTCACTCTGTTGCCTCCTCCCTCAACACACACCACCACTGAGTCCCACTTTGCAAATGGAGAAATGGCAGCCTGGCAGCCTAGCCAAGGACATCTACCACCAGCGAGAGATGGATCTTGGACTCCAAGTATCTGAGTGAAGCAGGGCTGTTAGACTCCTGGGTCCGCTACAGACAAAACTAACATCACCCAGAACTTCTTACGGCCCAGGCTTGGTTCTCCATGCTACACAGGCATTAAGTTGTTTGCCCACAAAACCCCAGCCATGCGTCTAACAGACATGTTCTGAGAGTCTGCGCCAGTCCAGCCTGCCTCCGGATTCACCTGCTAGCAGGCAGGACAGCATACTTCCACAGGTACTGCAGGCCTATTGCTCCTTGGCCGCACACTTACCATGCTGAATGTTACAGGCAACTGTTAGACACAGGGTTTCTGCAGCTCAGTGCATCTGGATACACTTGTTTATACCAGTATCACTACAATCAGGAGCAATGTGTTACATTAGGACATAAACGGCAGCAATGTCGGGACAGACAGCAGCACCTGGCAAGAGGAATCTGTCAGCTCCTGTAATCATAGGCGAGTCACTCTTGACCAATTCACCATTGTGTGGAGAGCGACTGAACTATTACAGCAACAGAAAAAAAAAATGACAACATTTACACAATTCACAAACAACAGAACCAAGCTGTTTAGTGAAAGTTCCCTTCCCCATTCCCCTCTCACACTACATGTAGAGGAAAGTACTCATTAAAAAGCTAGTCCTAACCATGGGCCTGAGTTCATCAACACTGCAGGGAGTGTTTGGGGGAGGGGGGAGATTCAGGGAACAGAGCCCAGGCAAAAAGACGGAGGAACTGGGACAGCTAAGACACTGCCTCTGCTGGAAGTAACAAGCACGAGTGCATTCTGCACACACCAACAGCACGTTTATAACACAAGGGGATGTGAAGGAAGCGCAGAAACTACAGCGGGAATGGATGGTCCAAGTGATAAGAAAAAGGCTACTGAGAATTTTTTTTTTTTTTACACCAAAGTAGAGGTTTAAGGCATTTCACCCAGCAAGCACTGGGTACAGCACTTCCAATAGATGAAACCCCAGAGATGAGGAGCTGGAGTGAGGAGAGTGGCGTGGTGTGGCATGGGAGCCAGGTGCCAAGCCAGTGTGTGCCCCTTGTACTGTTAGAAAGTCATGTTTGGTTCTGGTGATAACCCGCCCTACTAGCTTTCACGAATCCAACTCCATTTGTGCTACTTAGGTTTGAACCTAGGCCCTCCCTCGCCATTCAAACACTCCACCACTAAGCTGCCACACCCCTGAGACCCAGTGCCAAATATTTCCTAAGCCCCACCGAAATCCCCAATGAGTAGAAAAGCATTCCTGTGATGGACTCAAAGGCTTGCATGACAGCCTAGAGTTTTACCCAGGCCTGGCCTTTGCCCAGATCCTGCACCTGTTCCTCCACAGTGATGGGTGGTGTGTTGAGAGCTTCTTCGCTTTCACCAACGAGGAGACTCAGGAAGCAAAGACTAGTGGCTGGCCAGGAAGACTGCAGAGCCTGTACACCACACGAGTCTTCAGCCTCCAACTCTCACCTCAGTGCTGATTACCCCTACCTGCCCAGCTCAGATCTGCCATACTAGATAGACTGTGGGGGCAGGCTCTGCCTGACCACTCATTTCTGCCCCCTCCTGCCTACACAGCCTAAAGACGGTGATTGCTGTGGAAACAGAACACTGCTAGCTCCTGACCCTGTCACCAGTCCCTGAAAGTCACCCTCAGCAAAGCTCACCAAAGTTGCCTCTGACCACCATCTCTGGCAGCCCTAGCTGCTGTCATCAGTCTGGATGGGTGCATAGCTATTTCTCCAAAAATGAACCTTGGGAGAAAACCCAGAGGCCTCAGGGACC